TTATTTATCATTATTTCAATTTGTCATTTTTTTTAATTATTTTTTTCTTGTTTGTAATATCTCTCTTATTTACTTAATGAATGAGTTCATTGCTATATTTTCTTTCAGATAATGATTTAATAACTTACCAGTGATAATATGAAAAGAAAAAAGAAAACAAGTCACCATAAAAGAATGAAGAAAAAGAGTTTCTGATGCATATTGATATTTGATGAAGAAATGGGATGGCCAACTGAATTTTACTCAATCTCCAAATACCTCAACTAGTAAGATTTGAGAAAAAAATTCCACTTTTTCTTTTCCTTATTATGAGATATTCGTACAATTGTTATTTTCTAGAATTTGTATTAAATCTACTTATTCTAATGGTTTGATAAATACACACCGAGGCACTTTTTTGTGGAAACTTAGAGCCTTAATAAACCAACCTATATGAAATATTTTTATCCATTGTTTTACCACTTTGAGCATGAGCCATTCTTTCGGTATATATAAGGTATTTTCATTAGTTATTCAGCAAGAATGTGAACTTAACTCAACCCTTTCCATAGAGTCTAATAATTCTACAACTATTGCGTTACATGTTAATGCTCAAAGTTTCTTTAATGGAAAAGGATACCAGCTTAACAAATGGAAAGGTTATCAACATCCAAAAGGAGTACATAAGGTTTGTACTCATCCGGGAAGAACTAATCATACACTGGATACATGCTTCTTGAAACATGGTTATCCACCAGGTTCTAAACAAAAAGGGAAAGGTCAAAATAATGCTCAGAGTCCTTCACAATATCAGGCCAACAATGTTTCCAATAATGCTCCTGTTACTACAGAAGATTCATCATGCCCCTCCTTTGGTTTTACTCAAGAAGAGTTTCAAAGCATTTGTGCCTTGCTCTAACAAACCAAACCTAGTCCTACTACAAGTTCCATCACCACACCCCTTTGTTATGAGCTCTCATCCCCCCAACCATTGGTAAGGACCTTAACCTTTGGATATTAGATACAGGGGCAACTGATCATATTACCTTTAACCTTGGTTCCTTTATCACATATCAAAACATTTTTTTTGTTTCTGTATCTTTACTTAATGGTTCTCATATGAATGCTTACATCTCTGGAAACGTTGTTGTTTCATCTACTTTAACTCTGTATAATGTTCTATACATACCTACCTTTCATGCAAGTCTAATTTCAATTACTAAGTTGACTATTAGCAATGACTGTCATCTAAAATTTTCCTCCAACATATGTCACATTTTGCAGAACCATTTGAAGCAAACGATTGGTATAACTAGATTGCAAAGAGGTCTCTATGTGATAAACTCTAGTGATGCTCCCCCTTATTGTAATTATCTTGTTTCAAATTATTTGGAACTTTGGAATCTATGACTAGGCCATGTTTCTAATTCTAGTATGAAAATTTTGGCTAAGAATTTTCCTTTCATTCCTTGTAAAAATAGCATGAAGCCTTGTTATTCATGTCATTATATAAAACAAAAGAGATTGCATTTTCCTACTAGCATTACTAATACTCATGCACCTTTTGAAATTTTGCATGATAATCTATGGGGCCCATTTTCCAGTGAATCCATTTTAGGTCATAAGTATTTTCTCACACTTGTAGATGACTATTCAAGGTTTACGTGGGTAATCTTTCTTAAAACAAAATCTAAAACCAAACAGGGCATCATTCATTGTGTTGCCTCCTTAGAAAACCAATTCAACGCCAAATTAAAATGCTTTAGATATGAAAATGTCTCTAAATTCTTATACTTGACTGCCTTTTTCCGTTCAAAAGGCCTTAACCATAAAAAATCTTGTGTGAAAACTCCCCAACAAAGTGGGGTGGTTGAGAAAAAACATCAGCATAACTTAAATGTCGCTAGAGTAATCACTTTTCATTCCAGTATACTCGTAAATTTGTGGAATTTTAGCATTAAGCATGATGTTCACCTAATCAATTGTATCCATCGTACCTTTTTACATTATAAATTTCTTCATGAGATGTTGTTTAACATTTTTCCTATCATCATTCATTTGAAAGTGTTTCATTTCCTTTGCTTTACAACCTTTCTACATGCCCATAGAACTAAGTTTAAGGCTAGGGCCAGAAAAGTTATTTTCCTTGGTTTTAAAGATGGTACAAAAGGATACCTCCTTTATGACCTACAATCCCATGACATGTTTGTGTTACGAAATGTAGTTTTCTATGAAACATCATTTCCTTTCAAAAATCCTGTCAAACCTACTTCTAAACATATGCCTAGACTAGTGGGCAATTAGCATAACCATGATTCTGATATGATACCGAGCCCCAACATGAATGTTGTATCTCCTGTGACTCCTAAACCTAGTCTTCAAAGTCCACATCACCTTGAAAACTACAAATATCTTTTACATCCTCACAACCCATCCATCATAGACTATAACCCTAATGTTATCAAAGACAATTTCTAATAGCCTGAATAATGAGAATAACAACATTCCAACTTATGTTTCTAACCCTGCAACTATTCCATCTATTTGAAAATCTACCAGGTCCAAAAATCCATTTAGCTGCCTCAAAGACTTTCAATTTAGTCTTCTTCCCAACTCATCTACCATCCCTTCCCTCAATCTCTCTACTTCTATTCCTTGCCCTCTCTATATTCCTTATCTTATAACAAATACTCTCCCACTTACAAAACCTTTTGTTGTACCATCTCATCAATACCTAAACCAAAAACATATCATCAAGCATTAAAACATGAATGTTTGAAAAATGCTATGGATGCTGAGATTACTGCTCTTAAGGACAATCAAACGGGGGTCATTGTGGATCTCCGTGAAGGTGAAACCCTAGTTGGTTGAAAATGGGTTTATAAGGTTAAGTATCATGCCAATGGAACCATAGGAAGGTACAAGGCTATGTTGGTAGCTAAGGGATACACTTAATTAAAAGGAGTTGATTACTTTGATACATTTTCCCTTGTTGCAAAGATTACAACTATCAGGGTTTTATTGTCTCTTGCAGTTATCAAAGGTTGGCATATTGAGCAACTTGATGTAAAAAATGACTTCCTCCATGGAGATCTCAATGAGGAAGTTTACATGGATCTTCCTCCTAGTTATGATCTTCCTAATTCCAACAAAGTTTGCAGGCTTACAAAATCTTTGTATGGACTGAAACAGGAAAGTCAACAATAGCATGTTAAACTTTCATCTGCATTACTTTCCTTGCGCTATGTTCAATCTGAGGTTGACCACTATTTGTACACCAAGAACAATTATAGTGGCTTCACTACATTCCTAGTATATGTTAATGATATAGTATTAACACGTGACTCTATCCTAGAAATTGACAATGTCAAGACTTCTTGCATCACAAGTTTCACATTAAGGATCTTGGTCAATTGAGATATTTCTTAGGCCTAGAAATTGCTAGATCCACCTTAGGTATTTTTCTCAGTCAAAGAAAATATGTTCTGGAACTGCTTGAAGACATAGGTTTTCTTGGTGCTAAACCTGTTTCCACTCCAATTGACCCTAATGCGAAGCGTTCTTCCACTTAAAGGGTTCCCTTGGATGATCCCTCCTCTTACAAAAAGTTGATTGGCCAACTATTGTACCTCACAAGCACACGTCCTGATATATCCTACTTTATACAGCATCTTAGTCAGTATGTGGCCAATCCTTTTATCTCCCATTATCAAGAAGCTACTCGTATTTTGAGGTACTTAAAAGCATTCCCTACACAAGGCATTCTCTTTTCTAGCTCTAGTCAACTTAAGTTAAATGGCTTTGCTGACTCTAATTGGGCCCAGCGCCTAGATTCACGAAAATCAGTCATTGGTTATTTTGTCCTCCTTGGTAATTCTCTCATTTTCTGGCATTTAAAGAAGCAGAATACCGAGGTAGAATATCGAGCCTTGGCCTCCTTGACATGTGAAATACAATGATTGTGCTATCTATTTGCAGATTTTCACATCACTCTGTTTGGTCCTGCTTCATTGTATTGTGATATAAAATCTGCAATTTATATTGCCCACAACCTTACCTTCCATGAACGTAACAAACACATTAAACCGGATTGTCATGTCATTCTCAAAAAGTTGCAATCCATGTTGATTCATTTACTACCTGTACCTTATAGCTCTCAACTGGCGGGTGTTGTAACCAAACCTTTACATGCTCCTCTGTTTAGTTGCCTTTTGTCCAAAGTAAGATTATGTAACATACGTACTCCAATTTGTGGGGAGGTATCAATATAACTACTTTATGTTAGTATTAGTTAGATATGCATATAGTTTGGAGGAAGTTAGTAAGGTAATTCTTTATATATATATATATATATATATATATATATATATATATATATATATATATATATATATATATATATATATATATATATATATATATATATATATATATATATAAAAGGGTGCAACAAGCCCTTTAGTCTCTTGAAAAGATCCATCATTTGACAATTTAAATTCATATTCAGACAATTGCACTTTTATTACTTAATAATAGTTATTGATTATTCGGTCAATAATAAACAGAAAAAAGAAAATGCCGTAACATATATCCGAATTCATATAAAAATTCATTTAATTCTTAGAAAAATAGTGACAATGCCCCTAGGCATTGTGTAATGAATAAATCAAAATAACTTTAAAAAGAAAATACTTTATTTATCATTTTGACAGTTATTTAACTTACATTTTCAAAACAAAAATTCTTTTTATAAGTAATACTTTTTACACATTTATTAGCAATATAACATGACGCCACATATACCGTGGATTACCCATCCCAGTCACAGATTTGTACTAATATTGAACGAAACAACAAAAACGCGTAGGGGGTAAAAACGTCAAAGCAGACGCGCACCAATAGTAAATATAGAAAAGACCGCAACGTACCAGCTATAAATTGCCACCGCCTCCCGCATTCTTCAATCATTGAAAACAATAACCGATTTCGTAACTTATCTTGAAAAATCAAAATTTTCAGGGATGAATCTTCAAAGCGTTGCCATCTTTGTTCTTCTCTCTTTATCTGTGTCCGTCTTTTCGGACGCTGCTAGAGCCGGCGGCTGGAGTTCAATCGCGAACATCAAAGATCCATACGTAACAGAGATCGCTCAATTCGCGTTGACAGAACAGGAGAAACAATCTGGTGAAAAATTGAGTCTGGTGGAAGTGATTAGCGGTAAAAGTCAGGTTGTGGCTGGAACCAATTATCGACTTGTGTTAGCGGCGAAAGATGAATCTGTTACCAAGAATTATGAAGCGCAGGTTTGGGATAAACCATTTGCACATTTTAGGAACCTCACTTCCTTTAAACCACTTTCCTAATCATGCTTTTTGTAATATTGTAAAATTGTTATATATTGGATGTTGTTGAATTTCCAATAATAACAATAATAAGGTTTAGGAACCTCGCTTCCTTTAAACCACTGCATTTTATAATTCGCTAACGGGTCAAAATATTAATAGATATTTTTCATGTAAATTTTATGATATATTTTTGTATGTTTATGTCTTTATTTAGCTAGCACACCTAAAAAAATTTAAATCAATCAATTCCTCTCTCTCCCTTTCTCTCTTGAATGCATATTTGTGAAATCATTAACATATTATCTATTTAATTTAATATGATATCATACACATTTTATTGCACTATATTATGTTAATCATAAATAAAATTGTTTTGTCATCTTTAATTTGATTTAATAGAAAGATCAAAAATATTAAATATGAGTAAATAATATTTTTATATTAAATTCTTACATAACAATAACATATATATAGAAATCACAAATTATATATACAAATCACAAATTATTTAATTTAGTTCTATAAGTTGAAATGCATGTTTAACGTTTGAAGATACTATTTAAAATAAATTCCAACCATTATTTTAAATCATAGCGATTTAAATATATGTAAAAGTTACAGAAATAATAACCTATAGCATATATGTATATATTTTATGATTTCATAATATCGATTTTATCCTATTATAAAAAAATTATTTAAAATTATAAAGAAATTATATTATTTATTATGTATTTTTCTAACGAATTTGAATATTTTTTTCCCTCTTAAAAATTTAAAAAACACTGGATAAAAGAAATATAGATATTAACTCAAGTGTCATAAAATAAAATTATTATAAATAAAAATCACTAATAGAATATTTTAAAAATTTAATTACAAAAAATATAGAATAAATTAAGTTGATTGTATAAAAGAAAAGCACTTGAAATCAAAATAATTGAATCACAAAGCATAAACGACATATCTAAAACTTCAAAACATCTAAATTGTGTGTTTTATTTGGTACTGATAAAAATTAAGGGTAATTTTTTTGACATAATCAATATATTCCTATAATCTCATCTCAAGTTTGTTTAAATGTGTGAAAGTAATAAAAAAAACATAAAGATAATTAAACTAACCTAAAAAGGAGAGAAAAAGAGGATTTGAAGAAGAAAAAAGTGAAAGAAAAAAATATACTCTAGAAATCGATACTACGCCAGTATTCCATTTTTATTGTCCACTTATTTTTTTTCATTGATTATCTACCCAATTTGTTTTCATTCTCTATCATTATTTTTGTTTTTGATAGTTGAAGTATAAAAATAACCCTATTTTAATTGGGTTAAATAGAGGGAATTTGGTTATGATCTTTTACAAACTGTCAAACAATTATAATGAAGTAGTTATGATAATGGAGAGTTTTTGATCACTTAAAAGTAATTTTCATGTAGTACACTAATTCAACTTTATTTTATTTTAATTTTAAAAATATCATAAATTACAAAGGGTAAATTTGAAAGAATAAAAGAGTCAGCCCAAAAATTTATATTCCTTTTATCTATAGGTATAGAAGAATAAATTATAAATTATAGATACAGATTTTATATAAAATTTGTGATATGTATTCTTATATAGAATTACATATTAATTTTACAATTCATATTGACATGTGATGATTTTACCTTCAAATTTACGTACACTCTAAGTATTTTCGTTGAAATATCATTTAAAATCAGATGATTTGGAGTTTCGCTCGCTTTCACTATGTTTCATTCGGTTCATTTTATGATATCAAACATAGTCTAATAAAATAATATTAAAAAACATGATTTATCTTCTTTATTACACAACAAATTATTATTACACACTTAGTTGAAAAGAAATTAAAAAGTAATAAATAATACAACAAAATCAATGTTTCGGAAATAATTTATCTTCTATTTTTAGAAATGGCAGTGTTGATGTTGAACTCTCATTGATATATGATAAAAACTCAATCTCTTATCTTTTTTTCTTTTTTCCTTTAATCTTCAATGTGGAGAATTTATTAACTCATATGATAATCTCTTTTTTCAGATTTTGTTGAGAAAGAGCATAAAAATTGCAGAAAGGTGTGAATATTTTGAATATGTTAAATGCTAAATATGGGATAAATTATCTAAATCAAAGTAATTGTTTTTTTCTTTTTGTGGAGCAATTTTGTGAGAGAATTTGATATTGTTGTAATGTGAATAGCTTTTTAGATAATAATTTGACTAAATAAATAAAAGAGAGATAAATAAAAACTGTTAAGAGCATCTTTAATGTAAGTTTTTATTAGTTAAACTTTTTATAGTTAAGGATGATTATAAAGAATTTGCATTGAAATGGTTATGACGTGACATTTAATTCACTAACTTTTAGTTTGGCAATTATATAACTAATGTATGCTATATAATTTGGTCCCACAAAAAATTTACAATGAATATTTTATGTATTTTATTTAAAATAGTTAAATTAATGGTAACTTTAATAAAAAAAATAATTACAATTAAAAAATATAAAATATAGGATCAGGTTTTAGTTTTTTATAAGCAACTACCGTTAAAGTAAAAACAACTCAAATCAACTATAAATTTTTTAAATCCTACAAATCACTTTTGGCTCACAAAAAATATCTTAGTCTACCTACTTAAAATACTCCCACTAAAAATGCTCTAACGATTTCAAGTAGAAGTTACTATTTTAATTTTAATTTCAATTGGAAGTTACTATTTTAATTTGAAGTTAAGGATAGTTTTTCTTTTGCAATATAATTACTTTTTTGTACAATAATTCAAATATAAAATAAGAGGAGAAATTAATTTTTATTTAAGTAATTTTTAAACAATTTTAAAGGGTAAAAGAGAAAGAAAAAAAATAGCTTACATCAAAAAGATATTCTACCTTTATATATTTCTAGCGTCCAGATGGGTACTCGCGTGACCGTTTGTCCGCTTTTTTAATGTACACGTAAAATAGAAGTTATGTAAGAAGTTAATAGTAGAAAGTTAATAATAAGCTACGTGAAATATTATAGTAGTGGTTAAATTGGAAGTTATTGTGTAAATAACAAATTAAAGTAGGGATAAAATTGGTAGAAAAATAGGTTACACAAAAACACCATGTTTTGCCTTTATATATGTTATAGAATAGACTAGCGCCCAGACGGACACTCGTCTGTCCGCTTTTTAATGCGCACACATAAAAAATATAAATGACATTTTTTTATTTAATATTAATTTTAAATGGAAGTTAAGTAGGAAATTATTAGAAAAAAGTTGTGTAAAAGATGATAATAGTTGTCCAATGAAAGTTATTGTGTAAGTTATACATTTTAAAAAAAAGGTAAAATTGATAGAAAATTATACTACACCAAACTTCAAAATTTATCTTTATATATTATAGATTATAATTTTTTTTAGAAATTTATTGTCTCTCAGTTTCATAATTTTTTTTTGGAAATTTGATATTTTTTGCACGCAAATATAAATATTGATATTTCAAATCAATAAAACTCTAGAATTGTGTTCGAACTTTTGTTTTACTGTTCTTGATTTTTCAATGAATTGATTTAAGAAATTGTTATTAATTTGGATTTGGATATAAATATTATACAATTTTTAGTAATTGATGAATAAAATTTAAACATGTATACTATTTGATATAATACGGTGTAGTGTTAAAAATTAGTGTAAAAATATCATTTTCCAAATATATTATACCAATGAGAAGATGAGATTTAGCAGTTTTCAATCTTAGAAAGGATCTACCACATTTATTGATCTATTATTAAAGAAGAGGTCATAAATGCAATTCTTCCAGACCGGTTGTATCCTTCCAAATTAGGTTTTTTCACTTTTCTATTCCAATTTGAAAAAAAAAATCATAATATCTTATTTTTAAAATTATTAACGCGAGTATCTTTTTTATAGAAGCTCGTCCATTCAATTGACGAGAGGGTGTAGATAAAATTTTTGAAGTTGAAGTTCGCTCCAACCAATGGACGAACATGTGAAAAACATATTGAACTTTGTGAGCTCGTCCAATGGTTGAACGAGTGTGTGAAAAGAAAATTGGAATTTTTTATTCAAATTTTAATTATTTAAAAATTTTGATTAATATAATTTTAATATATTACATAAATTATATAATTAATATAATTAAATATTATAAATAAATACCAGATTTTAATTAATATAATTAATCCATCATTAATCAATTATTTTTATAACAAAAATTTTATCTGCACTATCTCGTCCACTGAATGGACAGTGGACGAGCTTCTATAGAAAAGGGATACTCCCATAAATAATTTTAAAAATAGGGTATTATGGTATTTTTTTCCAAATTGGGGTAGAAAAGTGAAAAAACCTCCAAATTACAACCTCACATTCATCCTTAAGGGTGTACTATATGGGTTGGCTTACACCTAATTTTACCCCTTTCGAACTTTAAGGTTAAGTTCGACGTGCAACTTAAAATTTCATTATCAAAATAACTCGTTCATTTACATTGAGTTGAATTGCATTCGTGGGTTGTGTTTTAAATGATTTTTTAAAATTTTAATTTAAAAAAATTATAACACAATTTAATATGCATATATTCATTTTTAACATTCATATCGGTTAAAACACATTATATCTTGTCTAATAAAATTCATCAACACAACATAACACTTGATAATAAAATAAAATTTCACAAGACACATTATTTCTATAAAATACGTAAGTTAGAAATGACATAAAAAAAAATATATATTTAATCTTAAAATTACGTAAAATAATTGGTCTAATAGTATTATTGATGGAGAATAAATTTATTTTTGACAAAATTATAGTTAGTAGTGAGTATTAATTTTATACTTTTATTTAAAATAATAAATAAAATAAAAAATGACTAATGTCACATCAATGGGTTAGATCAACAAGTATACGGGTTGTGAAACTCAAATCCAATACCGAACAAAAACGGTACGAGTTGTTGCGGGTTGGGTTGGATATAACCTACAAATG